CCATATTTTAAATTAAACATTCACAGTGAGTAATGAATACGATTTACGAAAATTAAAGTTCTTGTCTTATGATGTCCATCATTCCGTAATGGTAAATGGCTCTAGGTCAAATACGTTTTTGAGCTATGCGCTACACAAATCGAAAATTGCAATTCTTCACTAAAACAACGGCAATAACTTTATAAATTCTTAATATTAAATATTAATAATTTATACTTCAAGCAAACCTCAGGTGCGCAACTTCACGTGCTGACCAACTTCCTTTAAAGTTTGTTGACTCTAAGTCAAGCACTTTAAGAGGTACATGTGGCACAGCAATTTGGAACGAACACACGCGCAAACCTCTGTCCCCAAGAGTAGTGTTGAGCCATAAAAATGCTTCAAAAGATTAATCCAATAGTGTATGTTTATCAAAACATACCGTCTGTTCATGTCTAGTAAAAATTGGGCGGGATGGGGTGGGGTCCCAATATATTGCTAAATGCATTTGCTTAAATTATGTGCTAGGAAACAAGTTGACAGTTACAGTTGTCTAAGGCATTTGTCCGTATTTACTCGCCGATTCACAAATTGCCATTTCACAAAGGAAAACATCTAAAGCCGACAGGTTAAAAAAAAGCCGGTCAAATTTTTATGGAAAGTAGATTAAATTAGGTAAGGTTGGGATGGGTTGGGTTTTTGATTGAAAGAGAGAGTTCTTAATTCATGGACTGCAAAAACTAATATTAGAAAAGAAAAAGACAGATTTGCTACAAAAATGTTCTTTGAATTCGGAACACTTCCAAAATAGTATTAACATTAAATTACTTTGTCCAACATTATGTAGCAGAAACGTAGAAAACGCTTTAAATTATAAGTGACCTGAATTTGTTTCAGCGCACGTGATCTTTGGCGGTGATCCGACATGTCCGAGCAACATCAAGACATGTTACAACTGCGCAGTTGTACCAGGTTGTTTACAAAATGAATACGACAACATTTCCGAGGATGATTGCCTGCTAGCGCTCACAAATCATGTAACTATATGGTCGGTAGAATATGTCTATTCAACGGGATATTGTCGACAGAGCAATTGCGAAGATATTGAAATTGAATACAAAGCTGGATCGGTTATTCATCGAAAAACATGTGACACTTCCGGTAAAAATACTTACTACGAATCTTCCAAAAATACGTAACAGTTGTATATTTTTAGATATTGGTTAAATTACAATTGTTTGACCGAATTGAAATATGTAAGATCTGCTTAAGAAAAAGTAAATATAGAAAAGTACAGCTCTTGTATAATTAGAGTTAAACTGCATTTACAAATGGCAATCAAAATTTACCTAGTTTTTTGTATTGTTTTTGTTTTTATTATTTTTTCAAAGTTCAAGAACGACATAAAAACAAATGCTCCCTGATATGTGGCTATTCACAGAGATGATGACTGTCATTTTTAAAAAGTAAAAAAGTTTCTTTATTGCAAAGCGTATGGCAATTATACTAATGTATTATTTGAAGCACGCTTGATATATGTTTGCAAACAAGTTTACTAGTATTTACAAGAAGAAAACTAAATTGCAGACTGTGACATTGTTTCAGTCTTTTCCATAGCCGTGTTTTAAGTAATTGTTTTAGTACCAGACTATTTCTAAGAAGGAGCCTCCCTGACCGAGAAGCTAAACTTGCTGAAGTGACCTAATTTTCACAATGTGGGTTTGAATCCTGCCAAAGACGTGTGTAACGTGTACGCCAGCTAACGTGAGGTTTGATGCCTGTTCGTGCCTGAGCTATTGCACAAATGTTAATCTGAAGTCTTTCTCTAACAGAGGAGCTGAAAAGTCGTCATATAGCCTTGACAGTGTCAGTTCAATTTTAATATAAACAAGCATATTAAATTTTCTTATCTATTGTAACGGAAGTCCATTAGTGAGATAAGCCATTAGTCATAAAGCCAAAAGTCCTTAGACAAAATGGCACTTATGGGCTTCCTTAATTGTTTGACCATAAGTTACGTTAAATTCTCGCAACAATTCTTATGCATTTGATTTGATAATTTCTCTGATTTTATTAACTTCAGATGATAAAATAAAACAAAAATTGCACGATTTTAGATCAATGCCTGCTTAGAGAAATTAATACTGTCTTTAATGTCGAGAAAGATACAAAGTTTTTCAAAATTTTCTTTTTCTTATCGAATTCCATAGCATGTGCAGATTACACGCTCACTCAAACAAACTATACTACGGTATCAGCCATGGAAACCACTGCCATTAGTGTTAACGGCCCAAAAATGAGGGAATGTTTGGCTCACTGTCTATCAAGTAGCTCGGAATGTACTATATCGTATGAATCTGTCGACAAAGTGTGTAACGTGTACACAGGTTGTCAGAATACTTGCAGCATGGAACCAGCCACGGAAACTTATAGAGTTTATCAGAAGTATTGCGGAAACCAGCAAACAGGTTTGTTCAAGACCAGGTATTTCAAATACATGTTTTTATAAAAAGTAATTATACTTCCTGTTTTATTTACATTCATTGTTTTATTAATAAACTCGAATATTGTAACATATATTATTTTTATTTTAAATAAACACTTTTTGACATAAAAATACGATTTCAATTTGCACGGTGTAATAAAAGAAACAATTTAACATTTATAAAAATAAGTAACATAAAGCAAATTGCCCTATCCGTTTAATGTAATTCAATCTTTTTCAAAAACGTCTATTTTTCTGGACATACAATAATAAAACAAAATATGTGGCTTTATTTTACAACATTGATTGCTTAATTGTTAAAATCTTTTGCTATTCACAACTCTATTGACATTATAAATGGAACCATGTAGTTTTATGATATATACTATTTCGACAATCGTCGGTTATGGGGTCGTCACACCTTGACGTTCTGGTCAGCGTTCTATAACGTTTGATAAAAATGTTGGTAGTCGCCCATGATTGCTAGGATAGCGCCAGAAAAACGTTATATGAATGCCAGTGAACGTCATTAATCGCCGGTAATAGGCGTAGAACGCTGGTCCGGAAAGAAAGTTTTGAACATGCACAAAAGTTCTCGCCCATACCAGCGTAATTCAGCGTTTAAATTTCAAATGCTGAAGAACGTTTAAGAACGTTCATGGAACGTTCTACTAACTTTCGACGAGCGTTGAACACGTTCGTCTATCGTTAGTCAGTCGTTACTCAATCGCTGCTTGGTTGTTAATAATCGTTTGCTTTGCAGTGAACGACTCACTGGCGTTTCTTTGGCGACCTGTCATCGACCGCTGAACAGTCTTCAAGCGCACAAAACGTGTGACTTTAGGTAAACTAACGTCCATTTTTGCGTCCATTGAGTTTGAACAATTATGCATATGTAAAAAACAAAGTTCATTTTATTTTGAGCTATCGTGAGCCTCAGTCACATTAGAGCTTACGACCACAACAGACCAGTTGACGATCACCAGCGACCACTGGTCGCGGATAATCTTTATAACATCTTACGATAGTCATCAGTGATCTTCGATAGTCGCAGGTTATCTTATTTAGGTCCCACGACCAATTTCAGTCGTAGAGAGGTTTTGGAGATTGCAAGAACAGATTGCTAGTGATCTTATAAAGTTTTAGGCTGTCGCACGATCGTCGCTCGAAAGTGACAGTTTTACAAATTGCCACTAGTCACAGAAAATCTTGAGTAGTCTTTAGTAATCGTGTGATGGTCGTACGACAAGTTGTAGGTGATCAAATAACAGGTCACAGGTAGACGTTATAAATCCCAGGCAATCTTGAGACCATCGCATGTTTGCTGATGATTGGTAGTACTACGATAATCGCTGAAGTAAATTTATTTGTTCAAAGAGGGCTTGATTGCAAAAAAATCGCCGATGATCGTCGATTTTACACGTCGCCGGTAGTCGCAAAGAATCTTTAAAACATCTTACGATAGTCATCGGTGATCTCTAGTGTGACCGGGGTGTAGAGAACACCTTCTATGGAAGATCCTGAAATATTTAGAAGGCTTTATACGTTTGCTGTAGCAAAGCATCAAGTTGATGTACTAAACTTAAACAAAGCTTAACATATCGAGGGAATTCGTCCGCAGTGAAGACCCCGACAATCATCAACAGAGAAAAAAAACCGACAGAGACACAATGTTGAACTAAATCATGATTATAAAGACGTCAAGGATTTTCAAATTCAAAATGTAGCTAGTAGAAGAAGCCCTTATTCAAATCTCTATTTCTTGGCGTCATGATGCTGACTACATGTATTCAAACATAGAAGAATAACTGAATTTACCATGGAATTTCCAGCAATCTGTACCCGTTTAGCCGTAAAAAAATAGCATGCAATAATCAAGACGCTATCGCGTTAGTATCACGCTCACAACGCTCGTTAGGCGTTGACAAATAGTTCGTCACGCTCAAGTGGTACGTAAGCACACGATTATGGGTTTCAGAGGTATCTTACTTGGTCGCTGTTACACGCTTCTCGTGCGTAAGACACACCTTAGACGCACCTTTATCACACGCTAGATGTGTCAACCTCATTCAAGAACGTTTGAAACGTTCAGATAGCGTTGACCAGAACGTCATGGTGTGACGGACCCTTTACCCCACGGTATATATTCCTTACATACTACATTTAGATAATGTAGTATGTACGGTATATATACCTTGGGTAACCGACGATATATTGCGACATGCTTTTGAATTCTTTTAACACTGTTAATTCCACTGATCGTCAGGGGACTAATGAAGTCGTCAAGTTTGCACCACTACCAGAAAAGCTGCGACTTTTAGTTCTTACATGAATTTTAACGTGACCAGGTCACCTTCTTTTGCATGGTAAAATTATTATTATTAGTGGATGATGTTTTTATTTTGCGTGTTTTCCTTTGCATATTATTTTAATAAACAAACGAATATGAAAGTTTGTTTTTCTTGTCTACTGTTACTGAAATTATCATTCAAAATAGCATACAATATACATAATTTATTTGAAAGGTACGTTGCCAACAGCAATGACTACACTAACGACGTCAACATCTACTGAAATGATTACATCCCCAACACTTACATCACCATCATCATCATCATCATCATCTCCATCATCATCATCACCACCATCATTATCATCCTCATCATCTCAATCATCACAATCATCTCCATCATCACCAACACCTAACTCATCATTATCATCAGCATCATCATCATTATCATTACCACCAACATCTCCGTCATCAGCATCATCTTCATCATCACCATCATCATCATCATCGTCGCCATCATCACCACAATCACCATCATCATCACAATCATCATCATCATCATCCCTATCATTACCACCAACATCTCTGTCATCATTATCATCACCACCATCATTATCATCATCATCGTCGTCGTCGTCGCCATCATCACCATTATTAACTTTGCCATCATCATCATCTCCATCATCATCATCATCGTTGACATCATCACCATCATCATCATCATCACCATCATCATCGTCATCGCCGTCATCATCACAATCATCATCATTGCAAACATCAACATCATCATCATCACCCTCACCACCATCAACATCATTAACTACACCAACAACAGCTTCGTCGGTAACAACATCAACAACAAAGACCACATCGACAGCTTCGTTGACCACAACAAGAACACGTGCGCCATTACCAAAGCTGTTTATTGCACCGTGTATTTGCTACTTTAATAAAACATTTGTTAATATGACGAAAGACGAAATTATCACACTACTTGTAAACGATATTAAAATTGACGAAAAATCAACTTCACTTGAACAATCAAAGTCAAAGTGTGCCTCTGACTTAAGAACTTCTTCAAAAGTGATGGGAAGTGTAGCTGTAATAGTCCTATGTTCTTTAGGAAGTTTTGTGTTATGTATGGATTTACTTACCTTAAGAAAAAGGCTACGGTCAAAGACAAAAGGCAAGCGTAGCAAACCGTCTCGAAAAAAGAAAACATAGATTTGCATTTTGTTTGTAGGACGCTTGGTAGTAAATATATACATATTATATACATGATATATATACATATCAGTAAACCGACAATAAGTATAGCATCACATCGTCAACATTTACTCTAACAGTTGTCACATTCAAAATATTATACAACGAGTAAAGGATAGAGAGGCCGGTATTGAATGAGAAGAGAACTATAGACAGTTGGAATCTCCATAGTCCATATATTTAATCATGTTATCCGGAAAACTTGATAACATATTTTTTTTCTTATTATTTCTTTTGTTCAATAATTTCTATATTTTAGCAACAGTAGGGTGCGAAATCAAACAGCATTATACGGAAATCGGCACCAGAAGTAATCTCCCTTGATTAAATACCATAAGTGATCTTTTCCTTATTTTGTCTTTATAATAATCGAAATAATATCGTTTTAAACGGTTTTTTATCGGCTATTTAACATCGGTGTTGTCGGTTTGGTGACAACAAAAAAACCACTCAGACCTACGGCTTCCGTGCATAAAAACTCCAAACCGGTGTTAAATAGTCGATAAACACCGCTCGGACCGATATCATTTCTTAATTTTGACATTCCGAAACATTTGAAATTCTCTTTATTTTAATACTTCGAAAAGTTATACATTTCAAAAATATTAGACCCCTGAATGTGTTAATATGTTTAATATAAATATGTAGATTGCAGTCAGGGGATCCGGAGTGGGTCTCTAAAATATTTATATGATAACATGTACTTAAATGTTTATATTAATTACGCATTTTTAGAAAAATCAACAGCAGGTTTCGTTTTTATGACGTTTTATCACAATTTGTTTGTATGTTCACTAACGGTTATTACTTCACTGTATCGTCTAGTCTATTTGTTTTGTTTATTTGTGAAGTGGCAGCGTTTTCATTTATTGTTGGTTTATATAATGTTTTATAATCATGAAAATAGAAATGAACGGAGCAAGTCGATATTGCTCTATCGCCAAAATTTGCATGATATTGAAATTGAAAAAAGAATGTTTTTACTTTTCTGCATGTGAAAAATAAGCCAACAAGTCCATTTTATAGTATGTACGTAATTCTGCAAATTCTGCAGAATAAAATATCAAAATCAATAAAGCGCCAAGCATCATCTAAATTTTGTCGTCTGCTGTTTTTTTAAAATTATCTTAATATGTCTGCCCGATTTCTCTCCCTTCCTCTAACTTGTTTTTGTTTTACATTTTTAACAATAATATCGTTCTGTGAATGATAGGCTAGGATGTGTATGACTTAACCACTGAGTGGCGGGTTTTTTATACATCAATACGACAAAACAGGTGTAAAATAGCCGATAAAATGAGACAGACGACAATAATTGTATAGAAGCGGAGATTTTATCCGCTGTCGCTTTTTATATTTGGCTGTTATATTCATAATGTGATATACATAATAATGTAATAAACATAAGAAAAATAAGGAAAAACCCTCATTTTTAATAATTTCAAGAAAATTAACTTTGAGAATTTGAAAATGTAACTAGATTTTAAGAAAAGTAAACTTAAGATATTCACAATTCAAGTAATGATTAACATGTTATATGCAACGATAGCCGGTTTTTATTTGTTTGGGTCGTCAGACCAAACAAATAATGGTAGCGAAATTTCAGAGTCTAATGTTGTTAATTGCAAATGCCGAAAGTAGTCCACTTTTTTGAAGCGGTTACTTCCCTTTTGTATGTACACTAAAGCCGAAAAATTCAGAGGAGATCACTGCGTAAAGATGGTCAAAGACAGGCGCATCAATTTTCAAGCAAAGTAATTCCCGAATGGTCGAAGATTTCAAATATTGTTTTATTGTATTTTCTGATCGAAAATAACTAAATACAAAGCGGACATTCAATCTCTGACACAGAAGTTTACAACAAACCTAACAACAAGTAGTTCTCAAAACAGCTTAAAACTAGCGATTTAAAAGAAAGAAATATTTTATTTTGTTACAAGTATCCAACAAATTACAACGCATTTAAAGTTAAACAATAGCGTTGGCTTATAGAATTGTCAATAAATGCACAATCACAAATTACGCGGATGAATATGAGTCTATCAATGAAAATGCTTTTTATTACCGAATACTACACAAACCGAGTAGTGGAATATATAGATTCTACATGTCGGACTGTTTGGGCGAGAGGATTTTCGCTAAAATATTTACTTCAATTTCAAACAACAGGTTTACCCTGAACAAAATACCTCGAAATTAATAAGGATTACAAACCCGAAATGCAATGGAAGTTCTAAATTTAGAATAACTTGATATTATTCAAACTTTCTGTGTAAAACTTCTCCGTGGTAAAGTGGTAACGCGCTGGCTTAGTGAGTGAGAGGTCTCGAGTTCGAATCCCAGTCGAGGAAACTTTTTTTTTTTGTTAAATTCTTTTTTAAGTGTTTTTGTTAAGAAAGTAGCCATGATATGCAAGGATAAAGTGTGGCTGTCGTAAAAAATGAACATAAATGATTTTTTGATGCAACTCTAGTTATGCAGAATTCCGTATGTATCAAACTCTGGTGCCTTGCAAAATGAATTATAATACATAAAAATAAACCTATACAGGAAAATGCATACATATATACAGTACGATTTAGATTGCAAAGATCAGAAAATACCACAGAACTTGCAGCCCTTTGATTCTTTATAAATATAAATGCTTATAGTAAGCTCCAGGATTGTTTACATCTGTGTTAAACAACAGTTAAAGTCGTTACAAGCCCTAATTTAGAATAATATGGTTTTCTTCAGCCCGTTTACATATAAATTCACCGTGGCTGAAGGGTTTTCGGGCTCGCTTAGAAAGCGAGAGGTCTGGAGTTCAAATCCCAGTAAAGGTAACTCATTTTTTTTCAAATTGTTAAAGTCAAATAAACATTGGATTGAATATCAGTGTTGCAATTAGTCTTATAGCCAATTTACTACAATTAAAACGCTGGAAAGCATTGGTGGCACTATACATATAATCTCACAACCTGCACCTTTCTTACATTCTGAGACCCAAACAAATTCAGCGCCTTCTGTGCTTTGATTGTATACATTGCTTGCAATGTATACAGAGTTATAAGCTATATCTCAGAAAAGATACAGGTTTAATGCATTACCGAACAACATCCACTCCCGGATAAAAACCGCTATAGAAACTAGTTCTTCATTCTGCAGTAGCGTTACATTCCGACTACACATCATTAAAATAGTGTTTGCAAAGTTGTTTAAATGCTTTGAAATTTCCAAATCGTTCATTTTCATGAAATAATAGACACTACATTCCTTTAAGGAAAACAAAAAATAACAGTTCATTGATAAAATCGTAGTTTATACCTACGCGTTAAACTTCGCATATACGCATGCGCTTGCTAGCATGAATGAATACATCGTAAATATAGTAAAGTCGTCAGCGCTTATGCTAAAACAATACAAAATAAGCTTTTTTTAAACCGCTAGTTTGTTGTGATTAAATGTCCGATTTTAAAATGTATTACACCAATATAAAGCTTTGGATCTTAGCTTCATCACAATATAAACTTCAATACACCTTTTGATTCCAAAGTATTTAAATTAACTGTTAAACCTACCATATGTCAGACCATTTTACATGCGATTTATACAGTGAGATACGCAATGATAAGAATAGCCTGTCGTCTGCTAGTTCTAAAAGTGTATATCGGTGTATTATATAAATGGGACGAAACATCTCAGATAGATATTAAATCAAATAAAATTCCTGATTTACATTTATGCAATAAAATTGCCCTAAAATGTTTTACAAAATGAATATGGAGCACCGTCACAAAATTTACCAGCGTATACGGAAAATGTTTTTTTTTTTTTTTTTTTTAAAACTGGCAATTATCGTGACTTCGAAAAATAGAAATTTCGTAAGCTATTCTTTTGAATACCTTTCTTACACATGATTTTCCTTTCATTTTTGTATGCCTTAGATTTTTGAAAAGAAATATGTTTCGAAATTCAGCGAAGATTGCCTGATTCAGTACGGGTAAAAATAAAGATTCGGCCGCTCGACCGTTCGACCCATTACAATTCGTCGAACTTGGGATATTGACGTATGGAGCTAAATATAGGCATATGTGGCAAGATTCGACGAGAAGAAATAATCATTTGAAACTGTAAATCAGTGTAAGCATTAAGAAATAAATACATTATGTTATTTTTATCTGCTTATATTAATTGCCAAAAAACACCAAAAAAATACCGAAAAACACTTAAAATACAAAGAAATATTAATTCAGCAATATAAACCATTTTTGATGGTTATTTGATGAAATTGGTTTTTGTCGGTTATTTGATGAAATGGGTTCAATAATATCAGTTTTAAATCGATGATATATACAATTGGTATAATTCCAACAAAATAAGTTTTATCTACTTTTTTTCTACCCTTTAAATGATTAAAATTTACTTTCTTTTTGCAACCAGTGTAAATTAGAGAATGATTCTATTCTGTATTAAATATGCGATATGAAAGTGTTTTTTGGCAAAGTTACAGTCTAGCGTAAAAAAAAAACATGGAAAAGCCGGAAAACACATTTTTACGGGCATTAAAATAGTCGTAGTTAAAACAAGAGCCGCTATTTTTTTCCAACCTTTTAAATGAATAACTATAACTTTCTTTTGTTACCAATGTAAAATGTCAGTGATGTTATTTTTATAAATACAGCATGAAAGTGTTTTTCGGCTACGTATCGGTCTAGCGTCAAAAAAATGGAAAAGCCCAAAATAAAAAAAAAAAACAGCACATTTTACTTGCGATGAAATGGACATTTCAAAAATAGAACTATTAAATAAAATTTTTAAGCGTCTAAATGAATGATAATAACATTATAATTTATGTGTAAGCAATGTAAAATATCAGTAATATTTTTGTAATAAACATTGTATGAAATTGTTTATCGGCTATGATACAGCCTAGCGTCAAAAACATAGAAAAAATAAATAAACAAACAACACATTTT